GCTGTGTTGGCACCAGGCATTCGAGGGGTTGTGTCCTCTAGGCCCCCGAGAGGTTGAGCTGCTGGCCATGCGTCAGAAAGACAGGACTAGAAAATGTACGTGTTGAGAAAGGAGACACCAATGAAATCGGCCCCTCTGTCTGACGTTCCTGAGTTAAAATCTGAGGAAAGAGCAGACGTTCATCTTCATAGCTCAGCCGGCTGAACTGGCGGCTGCAGGCGGGACACTGATGCCAGCGCCCCCGGGTCCATCACAGCGTCTGGGCCTCCGCCTCCGGTCCCTGAAAGGTGAACGGCGCACTCCCCAGTGTGCTGGGAACCCCGAGGGTGTCGGACTCCGGCTCCCACCTAAGTCTTAGGTTTCTCGTCCACAAACACCATCTCTTTCTCCTCGTTTCCTCTCATCCTTAGGACTCACTCCCACACGACCGACGCTTCCTCTAGGGAAGCTGAGATTAAATTCTGAACCACTGCATGAAGGACACCGGATGTCAGAGCGCAGCGTAGCAGATAGCCGGAAGCACAAGAATGTCCTCATTAGCCTCTGAGACTCCGTGCAGGTGACAGTAAATTTGGAGGAGGAACACGGACAGAAAAGGCCCTGGCCAGCCAGCCCAGTGGGAGTCTATACTTAATAAAATGTGAACGTTCAGCCAAATCAAAGCCTACTTAGATGTTTTCCTCGCAATGGGACCTTTTAGTGGATCAATTCTGGTTAGTATTATTTATCAGTATATTTAGTCCAAAGTGACGACAATGAGTAGGTTGAAAAGTAGTCCTTCTGGGATTCTCCGAGGCGGTACGGTTAGAGGGACGTCGGGACGGGCGGTCCTGCCACGCACTCCACCTCCCTGAGGCCCCTTTAGTAGCAGCGGGAGGACATGACGACAGATCACAGCTGGCCGGCTCTCAAGGAGCGGGAGTTTTTTGCGTTAGAAAATGAGAAGACTGACATTTGGAAAGAGGACCACGTGGCCACAGGGCAGGAGCTGCAGCTGCAGACTTGGGAGGTGGGATGGGGTGGGTGGCGGCTGAACTCTGGGCTTTGGGTCTGTGTCCCTGCCCTTCAGGTGTGCCACCAGGGAGGAAGGGAGGGAGGGACAGTGTCCCCCAGGTCCCCAGCCCGGACAGGGAGGGTCCCGGGGGTCTCGGTGCAGGGCTCCAAGTTGGGGGAGGATGGGGCAGGGACCTGGGAACCAGGAGTTTCTTTCCAAGTTAGGTTAGAATGCTGGAACGTTACCTAAAGATTTTCTTATCAAAAATAAATTGAAGTTTCCCTCTGCCTCTGAAGCTGCAACTCCACAATGAAGCAGCTGGAATGGAGATAAGACGAGTCCATAAATCATCATAATACAAGGTGGAGAGTGATGGATGCCACAGGAAACAGACAGCAATGGCGAGCGGCTGCGAGGAGCCCACGGGCGCCGAATCCCCACAGCCAGGTGGTGCAGGAACCGCAGTCACTGCAGTCTCCCAGAAGGCGGGCCGCCCTGTGCTGGACGTCACAGGCACCCTGTCAATGAGGACGTCGCCCAACTTGGCTCAAGATGGAGGGCAGGACTCTGCAGCACAGGGAGAGCTGTTTCCGAGACCGCCATGTCACTGCCAGTTTGCAGAGGCGGCTGGAGGGGCTCGGGGCGTGTGGGCGGGTGTGTGAAGCCCCGGGAACCCCCGGCCTCCTGCTCTGCAGCCCCCGGGAAGGACAGCCCGGGCCCCGTCAGAACCAGGCGCTGTTGTGCTCAGACGGGCTCTTGCCTTGGAGAAAATGAAGGAGAAAGAGCTTTGGGGACAAAAGTGACACTGTGCTGTGGGGCATCAGGTGACAGCCCAGTGGGACAGGAAGGAAGGAGATAAGCCCACAAGAGGGCTGTGCAGGAGGTTAAGGTGGTGGGTGGCTGGGTGGAGGCCCTAGGGCTGGAACCACAGACCTGGGGACAGATCAGAGATGAAACGGGTGGAGCTGGGGGACAGTCAGACCAGCTGGGAGAGCAAACCTCCAAACCTGGAATTTGTGGTTGTTTTTCCTCATCCTTTCTTCTCCTGGCACGTTAACCAATGCTGTCTTCACTTGTGCTGCTTCCTGGAAGCCAGCTCTCCTTTGTCACCTTGGCAGGGCCCCCGATGGCTGGCCGCCCCTGCCCCTCCAGCCACCACCTCGCACTGAGGTTCGAGAGTCTGAGGGGAGACAATGTGGCCCTGAGCTCCGAGGGACGTCT